ATGACATGTAATTATATGATTAATTTTTTTATTTAAGTGGTTACATATAATATTGTATATATTTATTTGTTTAATATCATATTATTATTATAAGTTTATAATTTATATTGCATTATAATTATAACATTTTAGGAATAGTTTAGGAGTGAATGGTGAAATGGCTGAATTCTATACTTTAATTATCATGTCAAGAGAAGTGACTTAGGAAATTTTTTGCAAAGGCTAAATGGTTAATTTCTACTATATAATCAACATTCAACATGCCGATGTGATTTACCTATGTGATTTAGTGGTAGTTATTTGCGCTCTTAGTTATATAAATAGGGTATTTAATTTAATAGTTAATTTTTATAAATATTAATTATAAAATAAATTTTTAGACAAGTTCTTTAAAAATTGAATTAGAATTTTTAAAAATAATATAATTACAATATCATTATAAATTTATAATTATGATATGTAATTAAGGAAAATTTTGAAAATAATATAATCACCTTTTCTAAAAATATCAGCCACACCAATGAATTTGTGGGTCTAAATGCGAATCACTTTGGATTTTTCTTTCTGGGTATATTAAGGAGAGAGAGGAGGGAGTTCAAACCCACAGCTTTGAGCCATAAGGCTAGGCGCTGCCTGATGTGTTTTCTCGATGGCGTTAAATATAGAAAAATTTCATAAATTTGTAGCTTGGTGTGGAAGAATGAATCAGCAATGAAAACACAATATTAGCAAAGAAGAATGTGACACAGAATTATAAAATACGGAAACAACGTGCATCCACCAGATATTCATTGTAACTACAACATGTATAGAATATTACAATCCTCCAAACCACTTGAGTTATGGCAAAATAAAAAATATATATTTACATAACCTTAACTAATTATCACTCGGCCTTCTTACGAACAGTCTACTTATAAATAACCGCGACCAGACATATTTCCCTAGTATGGTTGCAAAGGACGGACCGAAGAGGTGTGATCTACAGGTCGAAGAATAAATCTCAAGAACAAGTTGAGACTGCACTAACATAAAGAGAATGACAGTAGTAATGCCAGCAAGCAAAGTTATTGGAATGAAGACCGCCAATCGACCTTTTAACATAATAAAAAGAGAAGCACAAAATGCCACCGCCATTGTTGCAATGGAGATGAAGAGTGAACACACACCAATCATCAACTTAAGGGGTAAGGATATTGGAAAATCTTGATAAGCATAACGTGAAGTGAGGATCCCCAAAAACATTAACACTGAACCAGATGCAGTAAAAAGAGAAATTGCATCTGATACCATAAATACCGTGAAAGGTACCAGTGTAGAAGATTCTTCCGTTGAGTTCAAAAATATGGGGAAGCCAGTATTTTGATCATTCCCACCAGGAACAGTAAAAGCCGCGGCAAACATAATAGTTATGATGAGTGCACCTACGACTGTAGAAGATTCTGCCGTTTTCTTCATCCATCCTTCAGCCTCCTTTAATAAATCCTTGTGTTCTCTAGTGAACACTTGGAATGGAGTTTCTCCGGCTTTATTTTTTCGTTCTTTGCACGGCCATGGAACAATGGCTTCCACTGACTGCATTAATTTGTTCCATAAAACTATAGATGTTAAGTAATATACAGAATTTATGCTTCATACATCTAAGACATATTAAAATACAGTATAAATTTTCATAATATAGAAACTTTAAAATTCAGTAACATATCTCAAGTAAACCAACTTATTTAATTTTCTTTGGAATATATCTATATGTTAATAATATATATCAGTTTTAACTTCTTAAAAAATTGAGGTTTTAATGAGTTGTTTCATTTAATTAAAGTTCAATTTAAAACTCAAAACTTTATCATATTAAATGTTGATATATGAATTTGAAAATTAATTATATTAAAATATATAATCAGATTCTAACTTCATATACAAATATTTAATATAATGGATTTTTAAATTTTGAATTGAGTTTTTGGTTTTCAAATGCATGTATCAATATTTCATAAGATAGATTAATTTATGAATTTTGAATTAAATTTTAATTAAATGAAACCATGACATTTAAGGTTGAAATTCTAAATTTTTTAAAGAGTCAAGATTAACATGCATTATCTTCTATATATATATGGAGAAAAGTGCATATCAAGTCTTAATTTCCAAAGAAAATTGGCATCTCATCTTTAAATGACCTCATTTCATTTAATGAAAATCCAATTCAAAATTAAGAAACCATCTTATTAAATATTAATACTTAAATTTAGAAACTAATTATATATTTTAATATAATTGATTTTCAAATATATGCATCCATAATTATGGAAGATGGATTTCTAAATTCATAATTAAGTATTTAGTTTCCGAATATATCAATCAATATTTAATAAGGGAGATTTCTTACTTTTGAATTAGATTTTAGTTAAATGAATGACATCATGTATAGTTGGGATTCTAAGTTTTTATGGGTGTTGGGACTCATATGCACTATATATATAGAAAAAAAAATACATATTAGTCCCAACTCCCAAAAAAAAAAAAAAAAACAGTTCCACCTTAAATGATGTCAGTTCATTTAATTAAAATCTAAATCAATATTTACAAATCTATTTTATTAAGTATTGATATTTATATTTAAAAACTGATTATATATTTAATATAATTGGTTTCCAAATTCATATGTCAACCTTTAATAAGATAGATTTTTGAATTTTAAATTGAGTTTAAATTAGATGAAATAACATTATTTAAGGTTGAAACTCTAATTTTTGTTGGGAGTCAAGATTGATATGAACTATATATATAGGGAAAAGTATATATCAGCCTTGACTCTCAAAATTAATTAGAGTCCCACTGTTAAATAATATTATTTTATTTAATTAAAATTCAATTCAAAATTTAGAAATCTACTATATTTAATGTTAATATCTAGATATAATTAGTTTCAAAATCTAGGCATCAATATTTAATAAAGTAGATTTCTGAATTTTGAATTGAGATTTTAGTTTCCAAATGTAAATTGAGATTCTAAGGGCCTGTTTGGTATAGCGGTTAAAATTCAGTGGATAGCGGGTAGCGGCTAACGGGTAGCGGGTGGCGGTTAGTAGATAGTGGATGGCGGATAGCGGAAAGTAGGTAACGGATAGTAAATAGCGGATTCGATAAATATAACTGTTTGGTTATACAATAATTAGCGGTTGTTGTTTAACATCAAATGACTAATAAGGACATGTTTAAAAACAAATAAGTGTATTTTTTAAAATATTTTTATTTTTTATTATTAA